TAAAATAAAATAATAAAAGTAAAATATTTTATTTAATTTTAAAATAAAATAAAATAAATAAATTAGCACTTTTATTAAACTATCAAAGATATAAATTTAAAAAAAATATAAAGTTCAATAAATTTTTGTATCACTCAAAAAGACTATAAAATCACTCAAAGATAGTATATTATTATACTAAAATAGCTATTACTAAAAATAAAGACTAGAAAGTCTTGAAACAAGTCTAAAGTCTAGTAAGGCATTGATAAGAGTGAAGAAGGCTTCAATCTTACTTTTGTATATACTATCTAAATAAGAGCTACATAGCAAAGTTTTGTAGGACCATTAATATATGTTTAATTTGTAAGACATGTATCTTAACTTGTAAAGAAAATTTCTTATATGTGTGCCATATTATTAGCTTTTAGCACTAGCTACCAATACATGCAACACATGGCTAAGTTAATGGCTAAGTTTCTAACCTACCAATCAATTATAAATATATATGAAATAAAATATGTATCTATAAAGTTTTTAAAAAGCTTTGTAATAAGATAATATTAAATCTACCTATATTTATTTTCTATCTAATATTATTTATTTAAATAAGTATATATATCCATGATAAGATATTGTATATAAATCATCATGTATCAATTTTTACCTATTTTTATAAAACCTATTAAAGACATCAAATTAATATGTAAAAAAGACCAAATAATATATTGGAGTTATTAAATATAAAATAGAGGACAGCATTGTAAAAGACTCATTCGATAATAAAGATAATAAAGATAATTTTTGGTATTTTAGATGCAAAATACATTGCAAAATTCAGCACAAAATATAATGTCCTTTATTTCTACAAATAAAAACTCTCATATTTAGAAAGACAATAAACACCCATCTGTGATGAAATACATTTATACCAAGTAACTATGTGGTAAGATAGATAAAGAAATAATCTTACAAAATAACATATAATATATTTAAAGTTTATTATTTATTTTTCAAAGTAAAAGAATTTATACTTTATTTCATTTATAGAATTTAATAAGTGAATAAAGATGTAATTTCAATAGAGCTTGCGTATAAAGATTGTATTAGAAATCTAGTCAAAATATTAATTCAAAGCAAAAGAAACTAAATTAGAGGAGATTTAGGAGTAGTTAGGAACAAGTAATATTTGATATTAGTTCCAATAGTGTTCCTATATAATTTTAAGATTAGATATGATATCCATCATATTTATTAGTGAATAACATACTTGCTTCAAATTTAGATATTCTATGAAAAATGCTAGTACATATGATTTATAATAAAGATATAATAAATTTCAACAATATTTCAAGAACTTAATCATTCAACACATTTTGTATATTTGGCCATTTCAATATTTTTGTGAAAAAGTGAACTAAAAAATAATAATAATAATAATAAATAAAAATAAATAAATCTACAAGTAATATTGAATAGTCAAAGATTTTAATATTAAAATATATAGTATGCAAACAAAGATCTTAAAACATGGCTTCTATTCAAAGAGTTGTACATGCAAAGATGAGATCCATAAAATAAAGAATAATGATTGATCATGGAAAGCTATATAAAAACAAAGATATATATACAAATACACACCTATCATCTATTAAGCACCAATGCAATAGGTTTATAAGAACAATGAATCTAGGCTTTGATAACAGTTTTGATATGGTTATTGAGTAGAACAGAAGAGAGAGAGAGAGAGAGAGAGAGAGAGAGTTGATTATATTTGCATAGCTTTTTATGTATTCAAATAGCCCATAAATAAATTTGATAAAGATTACTCAATCTATTATTCTTCTTAACTTCAATGATTAGTTAATGTTTCCATTATATAAACATATCATAATAGATGGTGATTTATAAAAGACATGATTAGATATTTGGTGAAGTTCTTTCTATTTTGGAATCCATTAAATACTTAGAAGATAGATAATATCTATAAATTAACAACACATCCTAAAACATTGTCAATTCATTCAAGTAGAGGCAACTACATGACACCTTTATTATAATTCATTTTAAAATGTGTCCTAAAATAACTATCAAATTTAGCATATAATTATACAAAATAATTTACATATAGAAATGATAATTTGGAATAGCTATCTCCTAGAACATGCTATAATTATATCATTTCTAAATTTAAAATTTTCTTATGTTGAATCTTTCATATATTTTCAAAAATCATAGATGATTTTTTTTTTTTAAGTACTTAAACTAGATGTGGTGATGTAGAACATGTCTTGATATTATGTCTAGTTTAGCCACAAGTTTTACATTGCCTTTATTGTTCTTCAATAATTTCAAATAAAGATGGATATCTTTTTGTAGAGGATTGCAATTGATTGGAATTCAATAAATTAAAAAGATATTTCCTAGAATACTAGCAATTAGTCTTGTTTGGTGTACAATATTGCTAAGATGTCAATTCTACTAAGATTGTTTATATCTTTACTTATTGATCAAGATCCAATGTATGGTATATATTATTCAATTGATTAAATAGTGCCTCAATTATTAAAATATCATCTAAATGATATAGCTGAAAGAAAGTCGTAGTAATAAAAGAAGGTCAAGATGCCATTGTAGATAGAAATCAGTTGAATGTAGGATACTATTGGTTGTAAGACATTCATATAGTAAGCATTTATATGGAATATTAGAACTGATAGTGAAGTATCTAATATATTCTTTTTATTCATATAGTCTCTTTATTAATGCATATTTTTTTTATAGTAAAAAATAAGAAATTTTATGAATCATATACTTATAAAAGCATCTAATCAAACCAATTCAAATCTAGATTTTTTCATCTTTAATTCTTACCTAAAGCTCTTTTTTGTGATACTCAAAATATATTATAATCTTATGTTGAATAACATAAAAGTTGATTGTAGAGACTTGAAGCTAAAGCTATTTCTTTAAGATAGCATGGCTCTATTCTATCCTTGATGTGTTGATATTTTTAAAATTCAAGTATCAAAAAGACCATGTAGCAACAAATCTCTCATTCTAAGGCAACTAAGTTATTGAAATATAATTAATAATAATGAGATGATTGATATAGACTTGCTAAAGTTTTTATTAGATGGATTCAAAAAGATTAATTATACAACTAACTACAATCTCATTCTAATATTACATGAAGGTTTTCTATTTATTTGCAAAAAATCCTTATTTGTAGTTTGCTAAAATATTCTTATTAATATGCTTCATACAAAGAAGATTGATTGATATTCAAAAAACTTTTTATATTATAAATATGATTTCTAGTTCCATATTAGTTACTAATATAAATAGTACTATTCTATTATCAAAGAATGATTTAATCCTCTTTAATATTTAGATAAAATCTATCTTCTTTTCATCCTTAAAAAATATAAAATATGATGAAAAAGAAGAATTTAAAGAATTCACACCTATAATATGAAGGAATAATATTCAACATTTATTGGTCTTATATGTGTAATCCAACATCATAACATAGGAATGATTTTGTTTGAGTTCTACCAAAAGCCAATAAACAAAGAAGGTTTAAATGATAGCATTATTATGTGATAATACAACTATATAGTAAAAAATAAAAATATGGATATTATTATAGAAGAGCGTGATAGAAAGTTGTAGTAGAAAAATAAGGATGAATGATAGAAAGATAATAAAAGATTTAGTCTTAATACTGCATTTTGTAGAAAGAACTTTTATTAACTTTGTAGAGGAATAAATGAGCCAAATCAAAGTAAATGAGATAAGAAATTGATATAGGCACGTTTAAGAAAGAACTAATAATAGATTAAAGTAAAACTTATTTCAAATTACCTAAAATTGATACTTAGAGAGGATTGGTTGTCAACTAGGATCAAAATCAGACCCCGAGATACAAAACCATGCCTATACAATAACTCCTAGGTTCTTTTATAGATTAGAGAATAAGATTTAAGAGCAAACTTGAGAATATATTTTTAGGCATTAGTTTCATGTCATTTGAATCAATACTGAGATTTTCAATTGCTTTTTAAAATTAGTGATGTTTTTGGTAGGATGAAGGTTTGAGAAATAAAAATATGTTTATAAATTTTAAGAAGTTTTTGAATTTTGTGGTGTGTATACAACTAAAACTTGGATAATATATTTGTCTACTAGTTATAAATGTGTATGAAAATTTTGACATCAATTGAAGGATTAGATTGAAGTATATGAGGATTTTTATGAGTAATCTGTCTATTTATTTGCAGCTTTTGATTTCATGATGTCTGTACAAGTCTGCAAATCAACATCACACTTCCAGACCTTGATCTTTTTCCATTGACTTGTAATTTATATTAATAATATGTGATAAAGGAATATTTGCTCCCGTATTGCCATTAAGTATGAATTAGCAAGAATAGTTTAACTTTAATGTGAGTTTGTAGTTGCATTATTGATGAGTGGCAGGAAGAGATCCACTCTTGTGCAACAATTGCAATGAGGCACCTCTCGATGTGGTTACTGATGAAGTCATGAGCACTTCAGGAAAGTGTAAGTGTTTCTACTTTGTCTTAAACTATACTAATTATTGGAGGTTCAAACAAATATTGGTTGTTGCATTGTTGAACCACTTAACATAGCAACGCAGGGTCAATTCCAAATTGCTATTTTGAACTAGCAATGCTTTCTTTCGAATTACTTCACATGAGAATCTAAATTTTAATGTTGCTCGTAAAGATCTATCTAAAATTGCAGCTGCCCACAACAAATCATAAAGCAGCATCTGGCTTGCAATGTGGACAGCTGCTGTTTTTGAGAAGTCAAGCATTAGAGTCACAGATTTCACTCTTCTTCAAGTAGCAAAAGACGTAGAGAGAGAGAAATCAATCAACGTGAAAGAGGAGATAGCCTCAGCATCACCAAAACACAGCATTTCTAGAACGGTCAACTTTGAATTAGGCACTTGTGAATTGGCCTAGATACATACGACGACTGTTTTACAGATCTTGATCTGAAAAGATGGTTTGAAATTCAATTCACAATGTTGTTGTATTATATGTGTTCTTGCTTGAAAATGCATTAGGCACCTAGCTGTAGAAGGTAAGTAGAAATTTAGTAACAATCCTACTAAGTTTAATAAAATCCCAAATAAACTTTAAGTAAACACAACATCAATAAGGTGTACATCCTAAACAGTAAGGTGTTTAGGATGTACGCCTGAGTAGGGAGCACTTGCCCCCACTTATCAGTTGCGAAATCATTGATAATGCCCAGTGCGAATCCATGCTTGAGAACAAAACTTATCGAATTTGACAATAATTTCTTCATAGCAAAACTTACGCAGGGCGAAGCTGCATCGTCTGGACAAAGCGCCAATCTGGCATGCTCGTGGATACCTACAGAGAGTACATGTGTATTAATCCGTAAATTCGGATGTATCGACGCATCACCACCTATAAATGATGCGTTCACTCTATCTGCAACTGACGCGAGCTCAGCTCATGAGCGCTTTCAATTACAGTTTTTGGTTACAAGAGATAAGCAAGCTTGACTTCACCTTTCTTGACGTCGACGCCGTCATTCTATGTAGTGTGGTCGCCACTCGAAGGTGACGACGACCCGAAAGATAGTATTCTAAATGGTAGCAATCACCGACCGCTTCAATAAGTATGCCAAACCATCTGATGAGTCTCTATAGATTGCATGGTCAGTCCCAAAGGGTAACTGCAGCGACGCTGCTCCCTAGGGCAATGGAATATGCGACCTCTATTTCACAGATGAATCCTCCACACAAGAAGCGCAGAGAATACGTCGCGTTACGAATCAATCTGCGACGTTAGCAAAGGACTCTGCAGCCACAAGTACATCACATGGATGCGATGGCCGCTCCGCGATGCTAGAATTGCACCCCACCGAGGATACAACTCCCGTCATTCCAGTTACTCAAACCCTTAAGCCCTAACTTAACGCGGGACCACCCAAATGAGTCTCTATAGATTGCATGGTCTGTCCCAAAGAAGAACTGCAGCGACGCTGCTCCCTAGGGCAATGGAATATGCAACCTCGATTCCACAGACGACTCCTCCACACAAGAAGCGTAGAGGACTCGTCGCATGTGCAAATTACTCTACGACGTTAGCAAAGGACTCTGCGGCCACAAGTGCATCACATGGATGCGATGGCCGCTCCAAGATGCTAAAATTGCACCCCGCCAAGGACACAACTCCCGTCATTTCAGTTATTCAAACCCGTAAGCCATAACAAAACCCTCTCCAGAAAGCTGTCAGTTGGTAGTGCATGTTTGTTCAGCACGAAATTCAGAACAGGTCTATGTATTCTATCTTCATCCAGCCTTCGTCCCTTTCTCCCCCCTCCTCACCACACATCAAGCCTCAGTCGAAAGATGGTGATACAATGATCATCACAGAAGTCAGGAATTTGGGTATTTTCTTCATCAACGGCTTTGTTACAACCAGATAAGAGCCATGTTCAAACAAAAGCAGACAAACCTTGAAACGTTGTAGCGTCCACCAGAAAACCTCAGTTAACATTGTAGCGTCACAGAAATGCAGGTGGACTACTGAGGAGGTTCTCCTTGTCAAACAAGGTCCCAACACCGCCCACAACTAACGCTCATAGAGGTAACCATCATAGGCATAACAGCTAAACCCTAAATCCTTCACTCACAACACCCAACAAACCGAACACAACTCGCCACGACGTGATGGTGGTCGAAAACTAAGCAAAACAACATCAGAAACACAGAACTTCTAGCCACCTCTCTAACCTAAGTTAGACTCCGAGGAATGGGATTGAAAGGAGATTGTGAAATGGAGGGGCAATGTGAGCAATAAGTAGGAGATGAATGCACGCGGGCAGCCAGCAAAGCGTAACCCTAAAATATGCATCCATGTATGAAAAACTATCACGTGACATACCCTTCTCTCCGAAACCCTGATTCAACGACCCCATGAATTAGGGTCCAAGAGACAAGAGTTGCGGGCTTCATGTTCTCCCCAGATTCCAAGATATGGGAACTGGTTGGAACCCTAAAAAGTGGTGATGTGGGTACTTGGTGACTTTTTTTTGTTGTTGTGCTTCTTAGTTTTGAAATACTCATTCAAACCCATTTTTCATGGGTTTCTGCACAAAGTTCTGTTTATTACATCATATGAAGAAAAAACAAAAAAAATCATTCAATTTAAAACATATGAAATAATATCTTTTGTACTTTTTTTATTTTTTATTTCATGTTAGTAAAATATTTTACAACATCTGGATTATGTTATGGCACACTTTAAGGTATTATTATTCTTGAATTTATAAATATATGCAATATTTCAAATTATTTTATAATATAAATTAAATGATTAAAAACCACAAATAAATAAATGGATAAAGTGACCATCTATTCCTTCAACCAATAAAAGAAATACAAACACAAATCATGGCAAATATTCATTAAATTGGTGAGCTTATGTAAAAGAATTTTGTACAATCATTGATTATCTGCTTCTATTATAGATTATTTCAAATTGTAGATAAATTTAATATCTATACTATTTACATAGAATTATACTTAATACCACGTTTTTACAATTTTAATGTTAAAACAAGATATGAATTCATAGATAATATTAAATATCATTGTCGAGTTTTTTTTTTTTTTTTTTTTTTTGGGGGACATCCATGCAAAAATTCCTAAAAGTCAAGCCTTCTATGTATAAATTCTCAAAAAAATAAAACTTCAAAACTATAATAATCACTATTTTTAATATTTTTATTTATATTTTTGTTTCAATTATTTATTTACACATTTTATTGTTGCACAGTGGTTTTACTATATGCACTTTTCTACATTTATATTAGTGTCATTTTTTTGTTTCATTCTTTACATTTAGTTTGACTTCTTATTATTGTATATATAATTCAAAAATATAATTAATTATATGATTATAAAATATTTGTTTCATATTTTTGAGGATTTAAATAAATGATCCAAGCATGCTTTACTTAATAATTATTATAATTTTAAATACATTCAAATATAAGATTAAGGTATTTATTATACTAAGTCTCATCGATTATATTATTGTTTTAGCTCAATACTTCCTTGCATCAAGTCTTATTTTTTCTTTGTTTTTATGTAAGCATAAATATATATATATATATATATATATATATATATATATATTCAAAACAACAATCAAATAATCATTAATACATAGAATCAAACTTTACAAAAGATTTAGTTACTTCATGGAGAAAGTATGTCCTTTATTAAACTTCAATCATATATATATTTATTTCAATGCTTCTATATCATTGTTATCTAAGGTCGTAAAGTCTTATAGCAGTTAGACAAAATTTGATATAAGAGTCATTTTTGAACCTTAAGTTTTCTTAAAATGGCACTTCTTTGTGAAAAAGCATCTATCATTTGTTTATTTGGGCATATCCACAAATAGTGTATATAGTCAATGTATAATATATATATATATATATATATATATATATATATATTATTAATAAATTTATAATTTTATTTATAATTTTATTTATAATTTTAGAAAAAATTATATTAAAACATATTATCAATGACATACGGCATGAATAAAGAAGTTATGAAATAGTCTCAATGTAGGCTCTAAGATAGGAAGCAATAAGTTGTAGACATATGAGAAGAAAAAAAAAAGTAAGAAACATTGATTTTTATACCTATGGATACAAATGATAAACATAAGCTTAGGTTCTAGCTTCACATAAAATCCACGATTTAGCTTAGCATTCTTCTTCAAATTGATAAAATTCTTTGCTTAGAAGCTTTGCAAATTTAGCAACAATGTCAATGATATGAATTTTAAAGAAGTACAAGATCAATACATTCTTGTGTCATTGAAAAAAGACTAGATAATCACTCAAAGATGGTATAATATTAAACTAGAATGGCTATTGCCAAAGACAAAAAGACTAAAAAGTCTTAAAATAAGACTAAAGACTAAAAAGGTGTTGATAGAAGTAAAAAAGGCTTTACTCTTGCCTTTATATATACTATCTAACTAAAAGCTATGTGGCTATATTCTATAGGACTTCTAACATATGTCTAATTTGCAAGACATATATTTTAACTTATAAGGTAAGTTTCTTATATGTATGCCATATTTTTAGCTTGTACCACAAGTTACTAACACATGCTGTACATTGCTAATTTATTGGCTAAGTTTCTAATATATCAATCAATTACAAATATGTATAAAGTCAAATATGCATCTGTAGAGGTTTTAAGAAGCTTTACTGTAAGATAATATCAAATTTATTTATATTTATTTTCTACCTAATATTTTTTATTTAAATAAATATGTATATTTATGATATTACTTTCCTTTCTAAAGACGAGTTTTATAAGGAGCGACAATCATATATTAAACAAGTTCAAGATGCGGCAAGTTAAGTTTGCTACGTCTTCTAATCTTTGTTCCTTTTGAAGGTGGTTGATAGGTCTTCTCACCTATCAATAGTATCTAATACCAAAGCAAAAAGACCATCATATTATTTGATCATTGTTGAGGCTTTTGTAACTTCTTTCAAATAAAACATTTAGAACATTGTCAAAAGTTATTCCTACCTCTAATACAATCACTAAACATCACAAGTATTTTATAAGGTTGTGATACCAAATACATTATATCTCGCCATCTTTTTGACAAAGAATATGTTATTTTTGAAGAGCTTTATTTCTATTATATCAACTTGAAGGCTAAACAATATTTTTTTATAGCAAAGAATTGCTATTTGTTATCTTAGTTTTGATAGATGATGTTGATGAAAAACATCAATCTTTTTTGATGCAATTGTAAGATTCTTAACTCACTCTTATGTACATTCATTCATATTATATTTGTAGTAATAAATAAGATATTCCAATCTATTTCAATGTCGTCTTAAATTTAAGACTTCTTCAACTTCATATTCTTGATTATTATCTATTTTTATAAGAAGAGATAGCAATTATTGTCTCTTTTGAGTATATATTGTCTTATATGGCTTTAAAAATATATATATATATATATATATATATATATATATATATAGAATACAAGATGGATCTTCATAGACTTTGATAGAGATAATTGATAAGCAATTAAATTGATCTATTCACAAATAAAAAATGATCAAAGTCTATGGTAATCCAATTTGTCAGAAGGCAAATAATCTTGATATTAGAATGAAGTAACCATATCTTCTCACCAATATGGAATTGAGGTTGTTTCTTACAATAAGCATCCACATAGAGCTTTTGTTGTTCCTAGGCTTCTTTTAGTTGTGCCTTCATTATTGTATGTAGCTTTGACAAATACTTTTCTATATTTCTACTATAAGATTATCAACTTTAAAAAAATTAAAAGTATCAAATTATAAATTATAATTATAATTAACAAAAAAAGATATTTGTTGAGTAGAAGAATGTATCATATTATTATAAGTAAATTTTATCAATGGCAAAAGAATTATCTAATCATCTTATTAGTAATTGATGATATATCTTAAATATTATTCTAAAACTTGATTCACTTACTTTTTTTATCCATTAATTTAATAATAGAAAGCCAAAATTAATTTTATATCCACCTTTAAAATATTCAAAAGAATTTTCTAAAAACCTAATACAAATTAAGTCCTTCTATCCAATATTGAAACATGACTAGTTTATCTCAAGACCCAAGAGCTTTCTAATCCACAATAATTTAAAGTCTCATTACAAAGTAGGACAAAATAGACTAAAACAAGACTAAACAGAACTAAACAAAATAAAACACAAAAGACAAAATTGAGCAAACAAAAATAGAATAGAACAGAATTGAACACAATTGAATAAAAGAATTCAAAACCAAATTTAATAAGAGGAAGGATTCAAAGCTATACTTGACCAAATGCCCCAAAAAGCCCTGGCCAGTCCAATTTATACTTTGTTCTATCACCTTGGACTTTCTAGAAGGTTCCATAGTGGGCTCTACTTAGATAATTGCCATAAACCTTTTTTAGAAGGTTCTATGGTAGATCCCATTTATATAACCATCTTAAACTCTTTCTAGAATGTTCCATGGTAGATCCTACTTGATACACTAACCTAATCTCAATTCTAGAAACTTCCATAGTTCTAACTATCTATCCATGTGTGTCAATAATATGAATATCTTATCTATACTCTATTACAATTAATCTCCATCTATTAATTTGAAACATCTTTGTTTCACTTCAAATGGTATCTCCAAATTGTCTTTTCGCAATGGATGAGGTTTTGTGTAGGTTTCCACATTGTATTGTGAATGAGATAATCTTTCTAAAGAAATTTGTATTGAAGTTGTAAATATCCACTAATATAGCAAAGATAACAATGCTCCAAAATACTGTCTACTTCATATCCTTGTTGGTCATCAACTACAATTGATGGTGGTAGTAGTTGGTATCGATCTGAAAAGTGCTTTGGCTCAATATAAAATTCCTTTAGTTTTAAATATAGAAGACTAGATGGACTCAAATATGTGACAAAAACTTGAGGCAATATGCAACATCAAAAATCATTGTAAAAATGCATAAAGGTTTAAGCCATCAAGGTGCCAATTTACAAGTTTAGGTCGATGTAGCAAGTCGCAAGTTGGTATTGGAAAGTAATACCTAATCGCCTTCTTAGAAGGTCTTGTATTATTAGTAGTTATCCGCATACTACTTTTTTCGATTTTGTACAATAAAGAGGCATTGCCATGCCTCTTATAAGGCCATTGTAAGTCATTGTATAAACTCCTTTGTTGTCAAGTAGTTGATATTGATAGAACAATAGAAAGTTATTGGCATAATTGAATATTGATCAATGTCGGGATAGAGAGAGTTTGCCTCAAGAAAGCACTAGGCTCGTAGTTGTCACTAATTGCTCAATGAAGCTTCAAAATAAGGAAATCCCTAAGTTT